AAACCCCAAAACCCCAAAACCCCAAAACCCCACTTATTATAATCAAAATTGATAGAAGGAAGTATAAAATATGAGCTACAATATTAAAAATACAATGATTCCCTCAAGATACAAGAGCACCAATGCTGGTACTCTATCTATAATAATCTAGAAGAGCAAATTGAAAGGAGGCTAAGTTCTCAAAGACTGGAAGACTCCGAAAGTGTCCATTCTCAAGACACCAAAGACATGATCAAGAGTATCGATAACAAAGATGATACCATAACTAAGTATTTTATCAAATTATATCATTAGAAATATTGCCACAAGCAAGAATATTCTTCAGAGGATCCAAATACAGTATAAAGCTAGACAAAAGGAATATAAGCACAGGGTTGATACTATCCATAAAATAAAAAATGTACTGAAAGACGTTATTTGGCAGTATTTTTCTCCATAATTTATTTAGGTTGAAGCAACTTGTCCCTAAGTACTTGAACCTCGAGTTAGAAAATATCTGGAACTCTAGTTTTGATATTAAACAATTCCAGTTAAAATTATCGAGATTAGCAGTCTCAGATCATCAAGCTCGGATAAAATGCCAAAAGCTAGGCGTTAACTTAATGAAATTACTTAGCCTTTATAAAGCTAGCGAAAGGCTGCTTAGCAAGGCTGAGAAACGTTTGGCATCCATGAAGGTAAGTTCCTCAACCCTCACCAGGAGAATATAGCAGCTTTCATTGAGAACAAACCAGATTTTATAAAATCTGTGACTAGGATATGCCAGGAATTTGGCAATAAATCTGGGAAAGAACTACTGGAGATGATCATCAGAAATAACAACAAGGCTGGAGGACTTAAATAAAACATTCATCGAGAACGGAAAGATCAAGCTGAATAGTTCACAAACTGGCTTAAGCAAGTTCTGCAAGTCTTATAAGGGGTTGAAGAAGATCAAAGAGCTTAATGATGAAGAAGGTATGGGCATATTGACTCCACCACGCACCTAATGATATATTAGAGATTAAATCTATTGGTTTAGAGGATATCTCGAGATCCCAAAATTTTTATTCTAACTCTCACTTGATATTCTAAAATCAGCCATTTTTGTATCTTCATTCTTAAATAACTTTCTGAAATAGAAGAAGCCACTAAAGATCAAGAATCGCTGAAGAAAAGTGAACACCAAAAACCAGGGAAGTCCCAGCTAACACACAAGAACTTAAAACTTCACAATCAAAAATTTGCAGTATGGGAGAATTTCTCTAATTTCTAGTTTGAAAAGAGATACAATAGCAATTCAAAAGCCTCTCCTAATCAAATTGACGCTCCAAACTTCATTAACCACACTCAAAGGCTTTCTGAGATACCAGGAATGAGCGCTGGGAAAATGTTTAAATTAACTGAGGTCTTCACCAAAAGTATTGGGACTTCCCTTGTTGGCACTAAGAACAATCCCTTTCTGTACAACAACATGTTCTACTCTCTGTGCAGAAGCAGTGTTGCAGGCTCCTCGTGAAAGGACTTTTCAACTGCTAGAACAAGCTATCGCTTGTCTCAACAGCAGAGGAAGGATCCTTTCTCTGCTGTTAACAAGCTAACACCTCAGATAAGCAGAGAGAGTCTTTCTGAGATCCAGAAGGAGTTCAGCTTCAGCCAGCTATCTGATGCTGGCTCTGATGGGTACAGAAGGGATATCATCGATAATCAGAACTATTTAGAAGACTACCGGCCACCTGAATAACAATAAATAGCTTAAACTCTCCAAATGGCTTATAATTCCCACATATTTCATTCCTAACATTTAGAAAAGTTAAATAACTAGAACTCAACAACTAATTAACCAAAAGGGGTTTTGGGGTTTTGGGGTTTTGGGGTTTTGGGG